CCTTCCAGAATTGCTAGCACCTCCTCCTTATGAACCTCAATCCCGTCTAGTCTAATAACCTGTATCTCAGTATTCTCCTCGACGACATTGTCTTTTTCCTGTGTGAATACGGACGAAAAATATGCATTTAGCGCCTCTCCTATCTCTTCAGACTCCACGCACAACTTCCCACTACTGTCCTTGACTGGCCCTAATCTTACCCGAGTCATTCTTTTATTCCTGACGTACCTATAGAAAGCTTTAGGGTTTTCCTTGATCCTACCTGCTTGTCCCCTCCTGGCTCTTCTTAGCTCTCTCTTTAGGTCCTTCCTGGCTAACTTGTAACTCTCAAGCGCCCTAACTGAGCCTTCACGCCTCATCTCTACATAAGCCTCCTTCTTCCTCTTGACAAGAGATTCAACTTCTTTAGTAAACCACGGTTCCCTCGCTCAACCACTTCCTCCCTGCCTGACAGGTACATACTTCTCAAGGACACGCAGTAGCTGTTCTTGATCAAGCTCCACATTTCAATTGTGCCCAGCCCCTGCAGTTTCCTTCTCCATCCTATGCATCCTAAATCTTGCCTAATCGCCTCATAATTGCCTTTTCCCCAGCTATAACTCTTGCCCTGCGGTATATACCCATCCCTTTCCATCGCTAAAGTAAACATAACCGAATTGTGGTCACTATCACCAAAGTGCTCACCTACCTCCAAATCTAACACCTGGCCTGGTTCATTACCCAGTACCAAATCCAATGTGGCCTCGCCTCTTGTTGGCCTATCTACATACTGTGTCAGGAAACCCTCCTGCACACATTGGACAAAAACTGACCCATCTAAAGTACTCGAACTGTAGCGTTTCCAGTCAATATTTGGAAAGTTAAAGTCCCCCATAACAACTACCCCGTTACTTTCGCTCCTATCCAGAATCATCTTTGCAATCTTTTCCTCTACATCTCTGGAACTTTTCGGAGGCCTATAGAAAACTCCCAACAGGGTGACCTCTCCTTTCCTGTTTCTAACCTCAGCCCATACTACCTCAGTAGACGAGTCCTCATCAAACGTCCTTTCTGCCACCGTAATACTGTCCTTGACTAACAATGCCACACCTCCCCCTCTTTTACCGCCTTCCCTGATCTTACTGAAACATCTAAACCCCGGAACCTGCAACAACCATTCCTGTTCCTGCTCTATCCATGTCTCCGAAATGGCCACAACATCGAAGTCCCAGGTACCAACCCATGCTGCAAGTTCACCCACCTTATTCCGGATGCTCCTGGCATTGAAGTAGACACACTTCAAACCACCTTCCTGCCTGCCGGTACACTCCTGCGACCTTGAAACCTTATTCATGACCTCACTACTCTCAACCTCCTGTACACTGGAGCTACAATTCAGGTTCCCATCCCCCTGCTGAATTAGTTTAAACCCTCCCGAAGAGCATTAGCAAATTTCCCCCCCCAGGATATTGGTACCCCTCTGGTTCAGGTGTAGACCATCCCGTTTGTAGAGGTCCCACCTATCCAAGAATGAGCCCCAATTATCCAGGTATCTGAATCCCTCCCTCCTGCACCATCCCTGTAGCCACGTGTTCAACTGCTCTCTCTCCCTATTCTTCGCCTCGCTAGCACGTGGCACGGGTAACAAACTAGAGATAACAACTCTGTTTGTTCTAGCTCTAAGCTTCCACCCTAGCTCCTTGAATTTCTGCCTTACATCCCCATCCCTTTTCCTACCTATGTCGTTGGTGCCTATGTGGACCACGACTTGGGGCTGCTCCCCCTCCCCCTTAAGGATCCCGAAAACACGATCCGAGACATCACGGACCCCGGCACCTGGGAGGCAACACACCAACCGCGCGTCTCTCTCGTTCCCACAGAATCTCCTATCTGTCCCCCTAACTATGGAGTCCCCAATGACTGATGCTCTCCTCCTCTCCCCCCTTCCCTTCTGAGCAGCAGGGACAGACTCTGTGCCAGAGACCTGTACCCCATGGCTTACCCCTGGTAAGTCGTCCCCCCCAACAGTATCCAAAACGGTGTACTTGTTTTTGAGGGGAACGGCCACAGGGGATCCCTTCACTGTCTGCATGTTCCCTTTCCGTCCACTGACTGTAACCCATCTACTTTTTTCCTGTACCTGAGGTGTGACTACCTCCCTGTAACTCCTCTCAATTACCCCCTCAGCCTCCTGAATGATCCGAAGTTCATCCAGCTCCAGCTCCAGTTCCCTAACGTGGTTTCCGAGGAGCTGGAGTTGGGTGCACTTCCCGCAGATGAAGTCAGTGGGGACACTAGTGGTAATCCTTACCTCCCACATTCTACAGGAGGAGCATGCATTTGCCCTAACATCCATTCCCACTGTTCTGAATTCCCAAACAGACTATTAAAAAAAAAAACTAGTAGCCTTACCAAATCAGCGCTCAGAACCTTTTTTTTTGGTTAGAGGAGGAGGATGGGTGGGAGACACTACCTAGGTAGTGTTTCGGGTAAAACAACTGCCCAAATGTATTACCTCACTTACTCACTCCAAAAATGGAGTCACGCGAGGTAAGACTTTTATAATCGAAAAGCTTACCTTCCCAGGCTGCCCTCGCGCTTCCTCCCAGACTCCCGCTGCTGAAACAACTGAAAGCAAACATAGACAAGTTGATGTGGTTGCTAAATGGGTGCAGATGAGTTTCAATGCAGAGATGTGTGAGGTGATGGACCTTGGGATGAAGAACTTTTGAAAGATAACACAAAATAGATGGTACAATTCTAAAAGAAGGTGAAGAGCAAAAGGAACTTGGGTGTATATGTGCAAAATCGTTGAAGGTGACAGGACAGGTGGAGAGGGTAATAAGTAAAGCATACTGTATCCTTAGCTTTATTAAAAAGGGGCACAGAGTACAAGAGCGAAGAGGTGCTGACGAACTTGTGTAAGATACTTGTTGGAACTCCGATGGAGTATAATGCTCAGTTAGACAGATTACAGGAAGAACGTTTATGCATTGGAGGGAGTGCAGAAGGGATTTACAAGAATGATTCGAGGGATGAGAACAGTCATGAGGATAGATTGAAGAGGTTAGGGCTGTTCTTCTTGGAGAGGAGAAGGTTGAGGAGGAGATTTGACTTGCAAAATCATGAGCAGGCTGGATATAATCGATAAGGAGAAATTGTTCTCATTTGTAAAAGGAACAAGAATGAGAGGGGCATATTTTAAAGTGATTTGCAAAAGAAGGAAGGTTGATATGAGGAAAAGATTTTTCACTCTGAGTTGTGAGGGTATGGAATGCTCTACCTGGAAGTGTGATAGAGGTAGATTTCATTGAGGCCTTCAAGAGGACATTGGACAATTATTTGGATAAAAGAATGTGCAAGGGTGTGGGGAAAAAGCAGGAGATTGGCACTCGATAATGATGCTCATTTGAAGAGACAATGCAGGCACTATGGGCCAAATGGTGGCATCCTGTGTCTTAAGACTGTTGTGATTATGTGATAGTGTGGTATCTTCTTTCTGTTTCCCTGGTATGTTTCTTTATCAATTAAGGCTAAATTGAGTAACCTCATATTAAAAGTACTAAAATGTGCATCTGTTACAGTTTAGCAGAATGAAATTAATGAATTTATTTTGTGAAAGTCTATCTAAGCTAAAAGAATAATGAAATGTTAACATCCCTACTAATCCTATAAGTGGACAAAAAACGGGCAGATGGAATATCATAGGAGCAGAAACGCTGACGTTTCGGGCCTAGACCCTTCATCAGATTCTGATGAACGTCAGCCTTTCTGCTCCTATGATGCTGCTTGGCCTGCTGTGTTCATCCAGCTCTGCACCTTGTTGTCTCGGATTCTCCAGCATCTGCAGTTCCTACTATCTCAGATGGAATATCATGTTGGCAAATATTAAGTTGTTCATTTAGGTAGGAAACATGAAACAACAGAGTATGATTTAAGTAGAGAATGACTGCACAATTCCGAGGTGCAGAGGGATTTAGGTGTTCTGGTCCATGAGTCATAAAAAGTTACCACCGGGTTCAGCATGTAAACAGGAAAGCCCACGGGACGCTATCCTTTTATTATGAAAGGGATTGAACATCCGAGTAAGGATGGTGAGCTTCGGTTATACAGGGAATTGGTGAGACCATGTGTAGAACGCTGTGTGAAGTTTTGATCTCTTTACTTAAGAAAAAATGTAAACACATTGGAGGCAGTTCGGAGGAGGTTTATTAGATTGATACCTAGAATATGTAGGTTCTCTTTTGAGGATATGGTAGACAGGCTGGCCATGTTTCCTTGGAGTTTAGAATTGTGGGTGGTGTGTAAATCCTGAATGATCTTCAATGTTCAGAAATTAGTGATTGTCATTTTGGGACAGAGATGTGAAGGCAAGTTTTTTTTTGAGGTTTTTTGACTTTGCAACTCTGACTGAGGTGGTGGATGCCAGATCATTGAATATTTTCAAGACACAGGTGAATAAATTCTTGTTAGGCCAGGGAGTTGACATGCATCAGAGAGTAGTTTGAATGTGGAATTCCAAACATGAACAGATTTACCATGATCTTATTGAATGGCAAAGCAGGCTTAAAGCGCTGAATGGTCTTCTATTTTGAATGCTCGTATGTGTTCTGCGCCTGAGAAACAACATTAAAGGGTTCTTTGCTACCAAATATCTCCTGATTTTTAGTCTTATCTTACATGCCTGTCTTTGAGTTTTCCAATAATATTGAAGTAAAATAATCTATTAACGCGTAGATTTAATTTCCCATCAGTCTTGTTTAAAAACTTCAAGAAAGATGCCATTATGAATAATAAAGTCAATGCTTCGCCAACAAAATCATTAATATCCGAATTTGTGCTTGCAGTCAGTCTTTGTTCAGAGCCATACTTGATCTGGCATGACTTCTGTGCTGTAATTTAAATTTGTTTGGGACAATTTCTGCATTTAGCTTCGGGATATATGATCATGGTTTTACTTCTGGTAGCTCTAAAAGGTGATTTTGATTGAGTTTTTTTTCTAATGTGGATTCCTGCAATAGAGAAAAGTTTTATGAGGCAAAACTTCAGCAACAACAGCAAGAGTTGAAGCAGTTACAGGAAGAAAGAAAAAGATTGATGGAAATTCAAGAGAAGATTAGGCATCTGCAGAGCTCATGCCCTGATCTGCAGGTAGTTTTAAGTTTGATTTCTTTTTTAAGTAAAATTTGAAACAGGCACAAATCTCTACCTTTATCAAATATAATGCATTTCAGATTTATGTTCGTATTTTTCTCAAAACTACTTGTGCTTTTAACTACTTTGCTTTTGAAGTAATATGAAATTAAAGATACATAAATTACATCTAAGTTAATGACTTGACAAGTAACAGTTGAATGCTTTTTAAAATTTCATGTTTTGTTCAAAACTTGCATAGATAGTTAATGTTCACATATTTTAAGTGATACTTAACAACGGTTACTTTATTGCTGCAGATTTTGCTAATTGGTGCTGTATATCACATGCAGACTTTGTTCACTTGCAGTTGTCAACATCTAGTGCAGGAAACCTGTCAAAAATAAAAGTTCCCATTGTTACATCTACACCAGCGATCAGTGGTCAGAGTGCAACAGCAAAGACTTTACCTGACCCAGTTGCAGCTCCACCCCCTGATAGTGAGGTAAAGAGTAATTGTTGATATATTTCTCCATGCAGCTACTTAATTTACACAGCATTTGTTCGAAAAGAAATGATTTAACATAAATGTGCTTTTTTATTCCTTTTATTTAATCATAAAATATATCAAGGTTATTCCCGCTGCAGACTTGGAAAAGGGTGAGAGTTCAAATAGTCGTGAAAGATAAGTTGTTTTTGAAGACTTTTTCAAGTTGTTAAGAGCAAGGACATCAGGCAACAGTATTTAGGGAACAAATTGTCATGGTTCTTATTGTTGTGCCGAAACTGAGTGAAAATGGTAGGGGACACCCTATACACCAGTGCTTCAAAACAAGAATGTGTTCTAGCCAGTCGATTTGAGAAAATGACGATGAGCAGGGGAATGAAACCATTGAGTGTGAAAGACAAGAATAAAAACTTTGATTTGTTTGTATGAAGAGGCAGGGACCCAAAGAGCTAGTGAGGATTGCCATGTGGAATGTAGTGAAGCATTATTTAAGAGCTCTCCTGGTCCTGTCCCTGGACTTGAATGATATTAGGGGCAACCCTGCATGATTGTCTCTTAGCTCATCAATAAGATGCACTTTGATCAACCAAGTTAGCTTCTTATGTGGTTCGTTGCCAAATATTATGATGCTCCCATCAAGTGCCTTGAGACACTCCACTATGTTAAAGACACAATAAAAGCACATTGCTGTCATAGTTTATGTACAGTCAATTTTGAGGAGCAAATAATAAGTGTGATGGAGTTGACCATAGTAATGATGGTCTTAGTGAGGATTTTGCTTGTAGTGTAATTGGGGTACAAGTCATAGCCTTTTTTTAAAAATCCAATTTAATTATGGTCATATGTAATGCTGATGGACAATTTGGACAACTTGTGCAGTTGAGAACACCACTAGATGTTGAACAGGGTCATCAGGCTGCACACTGTGTAATGTTTGTAGTTTCATGGAAATGCTAAACTTTACGGATTCCTATTTTTCCACTTGTATTAAAGAGACTGCTGGTTCATGTGGTATCAAACAGTGCAGCAATGTTAGTCAAGTTAGAGACTATGATAAGTTCAAGATGAGGTAATAGCTTGTAACACTGGAGTGGTCAGAGTTGACATTTTCAGAAGTGAGTGATGGCACTTTTGAAAAGGAACTGGATCATTTCTAAGGAAGTTGTAGGTTGCTGACATTGAGCTGTTTGGCTATGGAAAGATAATTGAGTAGTTAGGCACTAGAGTGGAAGGAGGCCACTGGAAGAGATTTGTGGCAACTCTAATTTGATATTTTTTGAATGGGAAGCCACAGGTAGTTGATACTGACTAAATTAAAGCAGAAAATGCCGGAGAAACTTGGCAGATCTGGTGGCATCTGTGGAGAGAGAAACAGTAAATGTTTTGAGTTCAATATGACTGGATCTTAACTGACTGGAGTACTGTGTAATATTGATAGTATGGTGGTAATGCTACTGTTCTATGATTTCAGAGACAGGACTTCAATTTCTGCCACAGCAGCTCGAAGAATTCCAACTAACTTAATTAACAAAAATCTGGAATGAGAAATTAGTCTCAAAAATGTTCATGATGCGAATCCTGAATTGTCATTACAATCCGTCTGGTGCACTCATGTCTTTTAGGGAAAGAAATCTGCCCCTTTACCTAAGAGACTCTGGTTCCATAGCAGCTACCCTCTAAATTGATCTAATAAGCCACTCAGTTTCTAACATGGACAGCAGTGGTTTAAGGCAGTCCCTCACTACCATTTTCTAAACACATTCTGAACTTGTAAATTGATTATTTAATTGCCTTGTTAAGTGATTGTCTTTGTCTTTTTCAATGATAATTAGCTGTGGTCTGAGATGCGTAGACACCAAATTCTGCGTGAAGAATTGCGTCAAAGAAGAAAACAACTGGAAGCATTAATGGCTGAGCATCAGCGGCAAAAAACGCTGACTGAAAACAACTCCATTGTTGCTGCATCGGTTAAAAGTGAAGGGACAGAGACACAGGATACGCAGCAGCTCAGCAGAACTGAAAGGTCAGAACCGAGTATATAAGCAAACTTGCTCAAATAAGCTTTGTATTATCTGCACTTGACCTGGAATAGGCAGGTTGATTGGAACTTGATAGTTGTCAACTTCAAAGAATTGCTCAGCTGTGATTAATCAAGTGGCCTACAGTGTGCTAAGCACCAAATAATTTTCTGGTTGTTTTTCTTAGTTGAAGTGGATAAATGGTTTGATTTTTGTGAGCTAATTGTATTGACTGTCGTTTTACCTACCATCATTTATTCCAAACTTTTAAAAAATATATAGTTTCTTTCGTCCTCTTCAAGTTGTCCGTAATGCTAATTGGGCTGTTTTCCATTTTATGACGTGTTCTCCACAATAGGCACTCCAGGTTAACTAAAGCTGAGCCAGGACATTGAATTGGGTTCTCTCTTTCATGCTGACAGTTGACTGTGTTGAATTTGACCTGGCTAACTGCCGTCCCATCAGTCTACTTTCCATCATCATTAAAGTGATGAAAAGTGTCTTCATTAGATCTATCACACATCACCTGCTCAGCAGTAACCTGCTCACTGACTCACAGTTTGGGTTCTGCCAGGCTACTTGACTCCTGATCTCGTTCCAACCTTGGTTTAAACAAGAAAAAAAGAGTGGGATTCCAGATGAGGTGAGTGTGACTGCTTTTGACATCAAGGCTGCACTTGACCAAGTGTGGCATTAAAGAGCAATTGGGAGTAATTGAGAATTGGGTGAAAGCTGTCTGCTGGCATGTAGAACGATGATTGTGGTTGTTGCAGATCAGTCATCTCAACTCCATAATATCTCCACAGGACTGCCCTGGGTCCAACCATCTTCAGCTACATCACCAATGACCTTCTCTTTATCATAAGATCGGAAATAGAGATGTTTACTGATGACTGCACAATGTTCAGCACTATTTGCGGCCCCTTAGATTCTGAATCAGTCATGTCCAAATAAAGCAAGACCTGGTCAATACTTGCCTCACAAATGACAATTAATAACCATCTCCAATAAGAGACAGCCTTACCCCGGTGGCACGGTGGCTCAGTGGTTAGCACTGCTGCCTCACAGTGCCAGGGGCCCAGGTTCAATTCCACCCTTGGGCGACTGTGTGTGTGGAGTTTGCACGTTCTCCCTATGTCTGCGTGAGTTTCCTCCAGGTGCTCCTGTTTCCTCCCACAGTCCAAAGATGTTCAGGTGGATAGGCTATGCTAAACTGCCCATAGTGTCTAGAGTGGGAAATGCAAGGATAGGGTAGAGGGTGGGTCTGGGTTGGATGTTGTTTGGAAGGGTGATGTGGACTTGATGGGCTGAATGGCCTGTTTCTACACTGTAGGGATTCTAAGAATTACCGTCACCCTGGACTAGACATATAAACACAAAATGGACAAAAATAAAATTAGCTTTTCCCTTCTAGTCATAAAAGTTGCAAATAAAATTGTGTTGTAAAGAGCAGGTCGGAGGTTAGGAATACTGGAGCTCCTGACTTCCCAAAGCCTGACCAACATGTGTAAGGTTCAAGTGAGGAATTTAATGGTCTACACCTCACTTTCCAGCAGTGCCTATATCCCGTAAGTGAATAAAGAAAAAAAATTAGTCTATCCACTAATTCAAAGAAAAATTCTTCATTTTATATATTTCTTGCATATCCTGTCAACACTCTGAAGCATTTCAAATGAATTTCTTTTTCGGTCGCTGTTGACAAATGTTAGCAGTTAGTTTTACACAGCAACATTACACCAACAGTACTTTGATAAATGACCAGCAAACCTGTTTCTGAAATATAAATGTTGGCTAGAATGCAATAAGAATTTCCCACTTTTTCTTTGGACTGTCATTTCAACAGGGAGACGTCTCATACAAATCAAGTGTTAACATAAATCTTGTATTTAATTCTTGCATAATGTTTATCTGAACCAATTTATTTTGTAACTTTGAGGTGACAGTACCACTGTCTAAACACAGGTCACTGTTACGCTGGAAAGTTATTTGGCACTGATATGAACTAGGAATTGTAACTGATGCATTGGAGTATGGATATAATATTGATTAGAATGTGTGATATGAGGAAAATACACATTTCCAACTTAAACTATTGCTAAAAGTAATGATCATTGCTGATAGGAAATTATTTTTACTTCACTTGAATAGTTTCCTGTGCTGTGAACTCAAGTTTACCAACAACTGGGTTACAGCCAAATAGTACAATTTTGTTTGCAACTCTTATGACTAGAAGGGAAAAGCTAATTTTATTTTTGTCCATCCTTCAGTGTTGGTCTTGTAGTTCATTCCCAGTGTTGGAAAACCTGGGCATTTATCCATTGTTAGTGGTTCTGGAGTTGTGGGAAAAATTAAGTCTTAGGAAATTTTACTGTTGATGCTTTGGAGCACATAAGTAGGTAAGTTTTGATACAGAATGCAGTGGGAGAATTTTTCTTTTGAACTTTTGTGTTTGTGAGGCCCTTATTTTGTCTACAAGAGTCCAATGGGGTTGGAATAATAATTTAAATCAATGTTAAAATTCTTAATATTTCCCAGGACCATGGCAACTTGGGGTGGTTCTACCCAGGGTGCATTAGATGATGATGAGGAGGATGATGATGATGATGATGATGAAGAGGAAGAGAATAATGATGCTGGTGATGAAGAAGAGAATGATGAGCGATCGGATGCCATTGCCCACTCAGAAGTTGAAACAAGCTCTCATGAAACATATACATTGTATCCAAATCAAGAAAGAAGTCAAGCAACACGCAATTCCAGAGAGAGCAAGAAAAGGTGGGCTGTAGTTCAGAACTATTTAAAGAATATATGTAGTTATGAACAGTTTATCTAGGCATAAGCAACATAACCTAAAATGTCCCCTCAGCAGAGATACACCTGCCAATTCCTTTCAAGCCTGTCACTAGAGGCTGTAGCTTCAGGGATGTCACACCGCATCAAGCTTGTTAGGCCAAGAGACTCCCATTCTCACTGCTTGCATATTGTGTGTGAAGAATTTACAAATTGATAATCATTTGCTGCCTTCTATAGGACAATTGTATGGTTGAATGCTTTGACAATTGTGTAAAAAAAAAAGCCAGTGTTTGTAGCTTTAACCTGTCCTCTGAATTAGAATTCTGTTTGAGATACTAATGTTCTCCATTATAGTTACTTTAATGTTTTTTAATATGGTTTCTGCTACTTAATTTCTAGCTACAAATACCAAGGTAGGGAAGTTGTAAAAAGGTAGGCTGTGGGATTGCCATATTGGCTTTCAAGAAATGTTTGAGACAAACTATATTCAGGAGTCCTAATTATGAGACTTCACTTCAGAGTAAGGTGAAAAGTTAGCAGTACAGGTGTTTCTCAATATTTTTTCATAATTGTGTATGGATTAGGTCCTTTCTGCTCAGTTGCTGTTTACAGCTGTGTTTACTTCTTTTGAGAGCGCAATATCTGTTCCCAGGTTTTGTCTTTCTCTTGAGAGAGACTTGGTCTGAGTTTGTTTATGATTGACCCTTTCAAACTTCATTGCAATGTTTGTACTTTACTTTGTGATATATGGAGTCATGGGACTAGAGCTTTGTCTATCTCAGGCACAACATCTGTTGGCACTGATTTATGTTAATAAATAGCTAATACTCCAGTAAATTTGTTTTTGTGGACCATCTTATTTACACTGTTGACTGTATTAGCTGTTAACCCCCTTTCAAATAATGCTAAGTGCTTTGTTACATCTATCATTTTCCCTTCTGTCACTTACATAGGTGGAAAGATAAGCGAACATGTTCCTCAGACGGGAACTATCGTTCATTCCACAAAAACAAGCAACATAATGTCGGTATGCGTCGTCAGGAGAACCTGCGCTGGGCAGCTGATCTTTCCTATGTCGAGGAGAGAGAGCACTGGCAAGAGCAAGTAAACCAACTTACCAGGCAATTAGAATTCAGCACAAATATGTGCCAAACCCTGATGCAGGACCAGCAGGTGGGAAGTATTTTTGGAACTTCTCTTTTGTCATTGCCTGAAA